GATGGTTTGAAACTGAAACTAGAGCAGAAGAGTCACGAAAGAATACATTTTCTAGATATTGACATACAATTAAAAGGAGATTGCATAACAACTAGCATTTACGTAAAACCTACGCACAATCCTCTCTACATACCAGCTAATTTGAATGACCCGCATGAATACAAAATGTCAGCATTTCGGGCACTCATTAGGAGAGCGTTTACTTATTGCTCCAATATATTGGATAGGAGTAAAGAGATTAACAGAATTAAGGAAGTAGCTACAAATTTGGGTTTCCGCAGAAGTACAATTGAAGGGCTAGTAAAAAGTTATGAAAGAGGCAAGAGGCTAAGAACGGGAACAGATCAATTTAAGATCACAAAATTTACGTATAATAAAAACTTCAAGGACATCATGAAGCAAGTTTCAGATAAAAAACGCTCCAAAATTATTTACAAAAGAGGTCCTAATTTATACAGTATTCTTAGAAACGACAAAGACAAGCTTAATTTAAGAAAGAAGAAACAGCGGGCGTGTATAAAATTCCCTTTGAAAATCAACAGCTAGGAATTAGGAAGGACTATATTGGAGTCAAAAGACGAAATTTGGCTATTAGGCTTAAAGAACACATATAAGACATTAGCAAAGGACATTGTACCACGGTTTTGTCAAATATGGCACAAGCGGAGGCTTCAGTAGTTAAATGGAATGAAGCATCTATTCTCAAGATGTCGAGGTCCCCATCTTTGGCGCTGCAACATGAAAAAATTGAAATGTATAAGAGTTAATTAGGAGACGGCTGTTTCAATGCAAGGGATGCTGATGGTTTACCATCAGCATGGAAGTTCCTTGTAAAAGAAAAGTTAAAACACAAATTCTTAGTTCCTATATGCCCTTTATAATGTGATGTTTTTTATGTATATATTTTTTATAAATTTAGTCCTTTTGTGCATTTAATCCTTTAGGTTTGTTTATTTTGTTTATATTTTTATTTTTGTTTTTATTTTATATCGCCCTATTTATTATTTATATTAATATGGCGTCAATCTATTTAGTATACTTATTTTGTATATTGATTGGTTAAATTATTTTTCGTTTTAATTTTGAATTTATAATGATCAAACGTTCCATTTAATACAATTTTGAAATACGTTCAAATGCCAGTTCACCTGAAGATGGCCTGTTCCATTAGGCTGAAAATGTTTGTGTTTCAATAAATATATCTCAGCATATAATGTGTTGTGTTTTTATTAAAGGTAAACTATATAGAAAGTTTGTTGGGTTCTATTTTGTCCAAAAAAAATATGAATATTCTGTTGTGTTTTTGAATATAAATAGGTACAATGAAATTATATTTTATTACATTAATTCCATTTAGTAGATTGCTATAAATCTCAAATTGATATTCGAAAACACCTAGAGAAAAAAATTTTAATATTTTTAAACAAAAATTGTTTATTTTTAATTATTAACTAAATGAAATCATATTTAAACATTAATAGATTTTAAAATTAATGAAAATGATGAAATTAAGATTTTAAAACTGTATTAATTTTCAAAATGTATAATTCTATATCATATTAAAAATCAAAAGTTTATTTTTTTTTTTATACAAATACTAGCAGATGAGCCCAGTGTTGCTCAGGCAAAAAGTAATGATAGATAAGATTATTAGATTATAGTCGATCTTACCATTTTCACTGGGTGCAAGAATTAGGTCCCTCCTCTTCCAAGATTAATTAGAGAATTTGTAGATATCTGCTTACCACACCGGAATAATGATGATAAAGGCTTGCTGCAACCACTAACTGGTTTGTAGTACCACTAAGTGATGAATAACAAACGTTTCCGTAATCCCTTCTGGGTTCTTCTTCAGGTTTAATTAATTCCAAACAGAAGCTGGAACTATCAGAATCATTCATAAATATAAATCTAAATATATAAAATTACTTGTTTTGACTGACTGACTGAGTGATTCATCATCATCCAAAGCAAACAATTGAACCTAAGAGGTGAAATTTAGTACACAGTTAGGGTATGTCATGAAAACGCATACTAAGAAGGGATTTTTCTAAATTTCCCCCTGCGGGGAGAGGGAAAGGATTAAGACTTAACCTGAAGAACAGCTTCTACTGTACTATTTTAGATGCAATTTTTTGTTTTCAACTACATTTAGTCTTCATTGAGTACTTAGGTGTATTAAATTGATAACATTTCAGACATTGTTATAAATATTTTTATATATTTTGATTTTTTAACCAAATGTTTGAACTGTTTTAAATTTGAATTTGTTATTGCATATTGGTTGGATTATAGAACAATTGTAAACGTTCCAGAAAATTGATCAAATTGAAAACAGTTCATTTGATTCTCAGCAATTCTCATCATTCTCAGCGATAGGTGTTATATAACAATTACTATGGTTGTTGAAATACTGAATATAAATGGTGTTTGCTTGCAAAGTTGTGGGTAACAGCTAGTTTGAACATAAAATCGAACATTAAGACAAAAATTTCAAATACAGTAAACTTATGCGCAGGCACTCGCATGTCAACTTTAAGTACGATGGGACACTAAATATTGTTGAGAATTTTTAGAAGGGTTAAAAAATATTCTGCAAAAATTAAAAAAATGGCACCTAAAATTGTACAGTAGAAGCTGAGTTCTTTGGGGTAATCCTTAACCCTCTATCTTTCCCCTGCAGGAGGAGTTTCCAAAAATCTGTTTTTAATGTGCATTCTCATGGCATACTCTATTAAAATGCTGTCAAAAACACAAAAATCTGCATCTAAAATAGTATAATAGAAGCCATTCTTCAGGTTAAGTCTTAATCCTCTCCCTCTCCCCCGCAGAAGGGAATTTCGAAAAATCCCTTCTTAGTGTGCATTTTCATAACTGTGTACCAAATTTCACCTATTTAGGTTCAGCGGTTTACTCTGGGCAATGATGAATCAGTCAGTCTGTCAGGACATGTAATTTTATCTACTGTATATAGATTAAATGTTTTTAAAGAGTGATTAGATGCTAATAAATATTTAATATGCTTTATTTCTCATAACAGTAAAATTTTATAATTTAAAAATTCACTTATATATAATTTCAGAAACAAACAGGTCGGGATGCATCCCAGATATTTCATGACACAGCAGGTTGGAAATGCCTAGAAACAAGTATGAAGTAAGTGTATAAATTCAGTTTAATTTAAATATTTATTGAAAAATTTATACTAAAAGTGTATTTGAATGCTTTTAACATTAATAATTATTTTTTATTTAATCTTATATTTAAATTAATAAAAAATATAACTACACTATTTAGAAAAGTTGTTAAATATAATGTTTTAAATGTACTTTTTGAATGTAATTAAATATTTTAAACGTTATATATTGTGTATTGCAATAAGAGTTTGAATTTAGTAAATAACAATATTATTGTACAGGGCAGCGCTGTCCAACTTATCATAGCCCTCGGGCCATATTTTCTTCACAAACGTTTCGGGGGCCAAGAAGGTTGATAAACCACATGACATTTGCATAGTGCTACGGTTCAGTAAGCATTAATTGGTCAGCGAGTCCGATGTTGACGCTATAAAAAGGCGACAGTTCGACACACCGGATATACGTCACTCTCGTCTAAGTTCGACTTGGGAATTTTTTTGTTCAATAATAAATGTGAATTCTTCTTCCTGGAAAAAATAAGACATTCCCTGAAAATAAGACCTAGCGCATTTTTCAGAGCAAAAATTAATATAAGACACTGTCTTATTTTCGGGGAAACACGGTAGTAAAATAATTTTAATATTAATAATAATAATTTAGTAACATAAATTTATTCATAGTAAAATGTACTCGCGGGCCGTAAAAATTATTTGGAGGGCCGCCAGTTGGACAGCGCTGATACAGGGTATTAAAAATAAAGTGAATTGGTTCCTTAACTTTGGAATGATTAAAGTTAGGCGGATTGGACTAACTATGGCCAAACAATGTACAAGGGAATCATGCATGTCCAAAATTTTGGGTTGGAAACACTTGAATTATGAGATCCTATGGAAGTTTCTCATTAAAGTGTAGTGATAATCGGATCAAAAATGGTGTCATCAGAAAGTACATGAAAATCTAAACAGCGTTTGATCTGAGGCAATTTTTGATAACTTGTGCTGTCGTCAAGTAAAGAAACAAACATCTAAGTTAGGATAAGCAGACAAACAAACAAGCAAGCAAGCATGTTTGTGCTATTAAAGCTATTTATACTGACTACAGTACAACATTTGTATATGGCTGCAGTTGGCCATTATGGTAGATGCCTGAGAATCTATGACTTTGCATTATTAATGTCTGAATTAATAGCAACAAGGACAATTAGTTTTACCCTGATTTGCAAAAACACAGTCAAAAACTCCAGCCATTAAAGTTGACCATACTGACCACAACAATTTGTGTTGTAGTCTTATGGTCAACTTTAATAGCACAGAGCATGTTAACAGCAGTTGTGCCTGTTCACATGCTTGCCACCTGCCTTTCCTGACCAGAGCCATCAAGAGCTTGTATGGAGTCCAGGAATAGAGCAGACTTCTTTTGCTTCCTAGCAGGTCCTTTTATCCCTTTGTGTTTTGAACAAATGAAATAGATATAATGCTTCTATATTAATAAAAAGTAGCCTTAAAGATTTTATTTTCTGTTAGTAAAAATAATGTTAATTTTATAGGGGTCGGAATCACTATGGACCTTTAAGTTTTCTCTAGGGAAAAATACCCAATTTTTTTCCCCTATAGACAGTCTTGTTCCTGACTTAAATGTTTATGTTAACTCATGCTGTCATTGAGTAAAGTAATCAAAAATTATCCCAAAGTAAACATGTTTAAATTTTTATGTACAGTACTTTCTGATACAGTAGAGCCTCGAAAACTTGGCACTCGATAACCCGGCACTCCGGATAACTCGGCCACACCCTGGCAGGGCAAAAAAAATCCTTAGTTAATTAATTTTCATTATAGACAGCTTTATGCCTCATAAAGTATTTTTCTGAGGTCTGTCTTATCAGGTAAATTACTGTACACAGTGTATTCATTAATTTTCATTTTCATGTAGTAAAGGCTCTATGCCTTCATAAAGGTCATACTTTTCCTTTGTTTAAGGGTATTTGGACAGTTTATTCTCTATTGTATTCTCAAGTAAACAATACATACAAATACAGTACAGTATTTTCTGAGGAAACACTCATACTTAGTTTTTTTAACCCCATTTCCGATAACCCGGCATTTTCACAAACTCGGCCACCCTTTGGTCCACATTAGGCCGAGTTTTCGAGGCTCTACTGTAACACTATTTTTGACCTCATGTATAATTGGACTTTAACAAGAAATCCTTATAGGACCTCATGAGAGACACAAACTCACTAACTTTTATTAATGTATAGTTTATTTATTTATTTATTTTTATTTATTTAGACATACTGGGTTTAAGAACCCATGATGCGGGAAACACAAAAATCATTACACATACATTACAAACCAAAAAAATATTACAAACCATAATTTATTATTACAGAGAAAATTAACATATACATAAATAAAACAAATTATACAAAAATTGTAATTGATACCAAAAAAATATATTTAAACTAAATATCCAAATATAAAAGAAACAAAAACAAAATTATGGGGAGAACTATCCAAACAAAAAACAACTTTATGAACAAAAATTAATTACACCCACCTATAAGAGAAAAAAAGATTGAGTTATCTTGTCAAAATATGGATAGTCTCCCAAAACTTCTTAGCCACGAATGCACTTTTAAAAGACAAAAACAAATGCCACCTTTGGGCAAAATTAGATACTCCATTATGCAAAAACAAAAATGTACGTCACACTCCGTACAAAAGATCACTGAAACAAAATAAGTCAACATAAGATTACCTAAAACTTAATTTAATCTTCTGAACAAAATTAATTAAATCAAAATTGCTTAAATTACCAATAAGGTCCAAAAACTTCTCAAACGGAATAATAGAGATACCAAAAACACTTTTTTGAATTTTTTCTAAATTCATACACCTAGCTATCATGTGAAAAGCATCCACTAGCTCAATGGTTCCCAATTAGTGGTACGCATACCCTGAGGGTATGTGAAATTGCATGAAGAGGTATGTGCGGCAATCTAAAATCGGTCAATTTAAAATTTAAATGCATGAGATGAAGCAATCAAAAAAATAATGGGTGGACCATCAAAAATTCGGCAATTTACAACATGATGTCAAATGCACAAATTTGTTTATTTATAACTAAAAATATTCTCGAAATTTCATCAAAAAAATGTGTTTGTGACAATACCTAAATGAAATTCTTATGCAAGAAACAAAAATTGTACAATTAACACAAACTGTGTTAATTGTACAATTATCATTATTATCATGTCAGCGAAGCGGCAATAAAATATTTACTACCATTTTGCACAACATACCTCTGTGAGAGTGAATTTTCGGCCATGACAAACATGAAAACTAAACATCATCACCGACTTCGACTCGAAGATGACTCGAGACTGAAGCTGACCAAAAAGCAACCAGATTTTACAAAGTTGTGCAAAGAAAATCATGCACATTTGTCACATTAAAATTAAATAACCTTATGTTATTTTCATTATTATTAGAATTGTATTTTAAAGGTAATAAATGTAAAAAAACTTATCTATTTATCACTAGCTGTCTACCCATAGCTTCGCTTGCATTATATCGAATTTTCTCGCAGTAAAATGTAGCCTATGTCCATGTCCAACATGTAAGCTATCTCTGTGCCAAATTTTATTAAAACCTGTTCAGTGGTTTAGATGTGAAAAGGTAACATACAGATAGGCAGAATTACCTTCAAATTTATAATATTAGTGTGGATTAATATGAATTTCTGCTATAAGGGTAAGTGAGTTTGAGCTCTTTCTTGAAGTGGTACGCAGGAAAAACTAATTGGGAACCACTGCACTATCTGATCATTCTGACAATATTTGCAAATTTTTCTGCGATAATTCTGTAAAAAATTAAGAGAGTTACATCTGATTTGCATTACCGTAGAGCTAATATTGAAAGAAAAATTGCTATTGTAAATCGAACAGCCGAAAAAATATTTGTTTAAATGCTTATACCAAACATTATAAAAAATTACATTAATACGTCAATTTAAATCAAGAATAAAATTATCAAAATAATTTAATTTTAAGGAGGAGCAACAGTAATAATTATTTAATAATTCATCAAAATTAATACCATTATTAACACAAATTTTCCTTAAAGTTTTAGACCACAAAAAGTCCCTCTTATTTAACACATAACACAAACACATTCTACTCCATTGCTTTTCATCCAATTCAATAGTTCTGAAGATCCAATTCAAACACTTATTTAATATTGTAAAAGACAAAGGTAATAGCGAACACTCCATAAAAATCAAGTAACTTGGGATACAACGAGACAAACCAAATAACTTTTTTATAAAATTAACCAAACCTGGATCCAACTTGTCGCATTGATATCCCCAAACTTCAGATGCATATAACAAAGATGATGTAACAATTGAATTAAAAATCCTTAAATAATCTTTTAAATTACGTAATTTAGCCGATCTACACATCTGAATAACTTTATCAGTTTTAATAAAGGCATTCTTTGTAGCAGTTTGAATATGGTATTTGTATTTTCCATTGTACTTAAATATCACACCCAGATATTTATATTGGGAAACTACCTATTACATCATTTCTAAACCACCATTTATCCAATTTAGCAAGTTTACCACCATTATGGAAGACAACAACTTTAGATTTCATAAGATTCAAGCTCATATTATTTTCTAATAAATATTTATCCAAAATATTAATAAATCCTTGTAAACATCTAACAGAGTCGGCAATCAGAACTATGCCATCTGCATAAGCCAATATTTTGGTACTAATGCCGTTCACCTTGATACCTTCATAGTCAGAGTTACTTATTTGTTCAATTAAATCATTTAAATATACACTAAACAACACAGGACTTAAAACATAGCCCTGCTTAACTCCAGTAGCAGTGAAAAAAGACCTAGAACAAAGACGACCCCATTTAATCTTCACATTAAACTCTTTATACAATTCTGCAAGCAAAGAAACAAATTTGAAGCTAATACCATGTTTCAAGAGTTTTTTCCACA